GTATAGTGTGAATGTCTGAGATTCCCATTGGGGATGGGATAGAGTCTTTAGATTTGAGTGAGGAAGTGAAACAAGTACTCTCAAAGTGTGATCTGGATGCTTCATCTGCTCTACATAAAATTTTATTAGGAAAATCAGAAACAGTATAGCATTGATTGCCTAGGATAACCAGAAAATTATGAGAAAAAGAGAAAATAGAAGACTTGCTCTGTATGATGCTAAAGTATTTACATACATTATTAAAGATAACAAACCATTTGAAGTATCTGTATCTGAAATTTTATAAAACTGATGATTCTTCATGGTTACATATTGTTGGCTACTACCATGTCAGCAGTGATTTCATATCCTCTTTGCAATGGTGCCTCAGTCCAATATTTATGTAAATTTCATTCACTTGCTTAAGATGCTCTCTGACAGATTCATCCAATATAAAGTTAATTGTTTCTTTTTCTTTATCATTAAGTGTCTCATGGAGATTTACTGAGTGATGTGGATGCAATCATCACATTTAATCAGGAAACCCCTCTTTCTTCTTCTAGCTTGCTTTGAAAAATGAGGGCTATCATCTGTGTTCTGTTCAGATGAACTGAGATAAATTTAAAATCTATGATTTACATGTGTTGAGAAAATACTCTCCTTAGCCAAGAAGCATTGTTATTAGTAGTTATATTATGTTACATGGAGACATTGAGACCCTACCCCAAATCACCTGAATCAGAATCTCTACTTTAAAAAAATCTCCAGTTCTTTATGTAACTCGTAAAAATTAAGTGAAACCTCCTAACTCACTATGCTTCCCTATGTGAGAAATATGCACAATTTATTGATATGATGTTAATATAACACCATAAATTTGTATTACTGTAGTAAGGCTCTTAATTGTGTATAAAATACTTTATCATCCAAAGCAGAATCATATGCACACAGTTTCATAGCTCTTTTGTGATCCTTATTCCTGTGAACAAGAGAATATGTGCAAGAATATCAATGTGCTAAAAAATATCTTATTGGATAATTCCCGTCCCTCATATGTCAGAAACAGTTCTCATAACCATTTTCCTTGTAGTCAAATTAAGAAGTCTCTGGCCACTTTGCAAATATGTGTCTTTTTACAGGAAATGATGACATTCCAGGATGTGGCTGTAGAATTTTCTCCAGAGGAGTGGGCATGCCTTGACAAAGCTCAGCGGAAATTGTATAGGGATGTGATGTTAGAGAACTACAGAAACCTGATCTCCCTTGGTGAGGATCACTTATATACAGAATTCCTATTCCACATTAAGGCCATTATTTTATTTTTGTAGATAGTTTCTTAAAAGTTTCTACTTTACAAGAGTAAATTTTATATCCCTGCTTTCAAAGAAAATTGAAGAATTTTGATATATAAAATAAAATCATTAGATGTCTCATGTTATCTTCAACGTTTCCCTTTCTTGAACTGATATGTATATTTCACACTAGATTAGTGGTTACTCTAGGAATCAGGGCATATATTGTTGCCTGCACCTGAGAATAGAATTTACACCTCTTATTTATGTGGTGCTAGTGGGAATTGGTGCTCTAGTCATAAATGAGAAGTAATTTTTTATCATTCTACAGGGTCTGTGAGAAAACAATATCTTGCAAAGGAATTTTCTATAATCTTCTATAATGTTATCTCTACTAGGGATAGTACTGCATTAGTAATTGGAAAGTCTTCAGCAAGAGTCATGTGAAATTTCTCTAATGAAACAGGTCTTGCCGAGTCAAAGCCAGAGCTGATCACATGCCTGGAGCGAAGGATAGAGCCCTGGATTATGAAGAAAGAGGAAACAACAGCTAAATATCCAGGTAGGTGAGATTCAGTGAAGCAGATTAACAAATGTTAGAGAGCCAAAAGTCAAGGAGGAAGGCAGATATTAAAAAGTGGGTTGGAATATTCTGCTCTTTTGGAAATGATTTTTAGAAGCCTGTGTATGTTCCTCTTTATCTCACAGAAGGACATCTTCTGTCCCACGCTCTTAAACTCTCTAAGAACTCTACCCATGCAGTGATCTTCCTTAGAATTCAGTGAGAGCCAAACTTCTTGTCTTGGCTTATAAGGGAATACATTATCTATTAGCATTTCTATTGGTTAGGAGTTATGGGACTATCTGTGCATATTTTGAAGACCATGACATTAAACCATCTTTTGACACCCATTCACTCTCCTGCCCTTTCTGGAGTACAGCGGCTGATCATAGCTCACTGCAACCTCAAATATAGGGGCTCCAGGGTTCCTATTACCTCTGTCTTCCAAGTAGCTAGAACAATGGGCATGAGCTACCATGGCAGCCATTTTTTAATTGTTATTATTTTCTTGTAAAAATGGAGTCTCCTTATGTTGCTAGGGCTGCTATCAAGATCCTGGCCTAAAGTGATTCTTCTACCTTGGCCACCCAAAATGCTAGTATTATAGGTGTGATTCACCATGCCCAGCTCCCTGTTTTAAGTTCCTTTTGACATCTCATTACTGAAATATGTAAAGGGGAATAGTGGAGATATTGGGACTTGTTTCTGGAATGCCAGAAGCACTAAGGACACAAGTAAATATTTTATGCATCATGATTTCCAATTCTTAGTTTCCAGAGGCAATCCTACAGAAAGTCAGACTCACTCATTTTGTACAAATGCATAGCCTCCTCCTAAATGTAAGAAAATCTAATGTTATTTCACTTGTAAATACTCTTTTTCTTGTATAAAATAAGAGTACATTTTCAACTTTATTATACCCAAATTCCCAAACTATAATATAGTTTATTTTCCCTGCTCACCTTATGGAATTATTAAATATACTGTCTCATTCAGTGCTTCAAATAGCTGAACATATTTATATTCCCAATTGATACATAATGCTTTGATAACCTATACTCCATAATTTCCTTTTATTTCATAGCATTAGAAATGTGTCATTCATATGTGTGTATATGTGCATGTATTTCTGTGTGTGGGGTTTTAATGGGTGGAAATTTCCACAAATAAGAAATGTATAACTGTATAAATTTATTGTACATACTG